ACCTGCTTTCATCCATATGTTTGTCCCACAAAAGATATGCAATTAGATTCTTAAAACTGAAATAGGCATTAAGGCAAAGACAAGCTGATTTTACACACTGTTTTGTGTTTTTCAGCGGACAGAGTCGTCGGCCTTGACACATTAGCTAAGATGTCAGACACCACCGGCCCGAGCGCCTCAAAGACCAAGAAGGGAATGTTCCGCACAGTGGGGCAGCTCTACAAGGAGTCTTTGGCAAAACTCATGACCACGCTGCACAACACCCAACCCAACTTCGTCAGATGTATCATCCCGAACCATGAGAAGAGGGTAAAGACAATTAGCAGCAAAACTACTAGACTAGCAAAACTATAGAGGTGGTTGCTGGTGGTTAATGATCAATTAATCAAGTGTGTGTGATTATCAGCACTTGGCTGCTATCTATCCTCTTAATTTCCTATACCTTAAAAGTGTACTTAGTATTTTACAAGATGGCGTAAAAACCTATAAAACCTTTTTTTTCACATGACTATAGATGCATATTGAGAGGAAAGCTTTTTTATCGTCATATAAATTAGCAGTTGATTTCACTCCATATGTGGCCGTATTTCTAAAGTCATGAAAAAAAAACACACACATAACATAGAGAAAATGAATTTACTACTAACCAGTCAGCATAAGCGAATTATACTGTATGTATTTAGTTTTTGAAAACTTTATGTAATAAAACTGCAATCCTGCTCTACTCAGGCAGGGAAGCTGGATGCTAACCTGGTCTTGGAGCAGCTCAGGTGTAACGGTGTGCTGGAAGGAATCAGGATCTGTCGACAAGGCTTCCCCAACCGAATCGTTTTCCAGGAGTTCCGCCAGCGGTCGGTCTAGCTACTACTATACTATTTCAGTCAGAATTTCTCACCATATTAAGTGTAACATCTCTCTGGCTTCTTGCAGTTATGAGATCTTGGCTGCTAACGCTATTCCCAAAGGTTTCATGGACGGAAAGCAAGCCTGCTGCCTCATGGTTAGTTCACAACTTCAAAATTGTCATCCGTGTTCATTAACATCGACACACACCAAGGTAGAATTATCCTGTGTGACAACTTAATATATCACATCATTTACTGATTTCCTGTCTGTGTAGATCAAGCATCTGGACTTGGACCCCAACCTGTACAGAATCGGACAGAGTAAAATCTTCTTCCGCACGGGAGTGCTTGCTCAACTAGAGGAGGAGAGAGATTTGAAGATCACTGTGATCATCATTGCTTTCCAGGCCCAAGCTAGAGGCTTCCTGGCCAGAAAGTATGAAAATTGAAGCCCCCCCCCCTCCCCCCTTAAACCAGTTTATTTGTTGCTGTTATCACCGTAAATAAAACTTTGCATGTTGCACTATATATTTTTTTTGAAGGGCATTCGCCAAGAGACAGCAGCAGTTGACGGCTATGAAAGTGATCCAGAGGAACTGTGCTGCCTACCTCAAACTGAGGAACTGGCAGTGGTGGAGGCTTTTCACAAAGGTCAGCTCATCAGTCTCTAGAAGCATGTAAATGCAACAAAACCATAGTACATCTGTGTGTTTTTTGAGAAAGAAACTTTCCAGATACTACAAAATTATTTTGAAATGACAAATTCTGCCTTTTCCTTCTGAACAACAGGTTAAGCCTCTGTTGCAAGTGACCCGACAGGAAGAGGAGATGGGTCTCAAGGAAGAAGAGCTACAGAAAGCCAAAGAAGTTGCCACAAAGTTTGAGTCAGAGCTAAAAGAAATCACCTTGAAACATACACAGGTAAGGGATTAAATGCACATCAATGACACAAACCTTGTTTTTGCTTTCTTTTAATGAATCCGTTCAGCGTTGATTCGATAAAGTTTCCAGTTATGGAGAGTCTGCTGATTGTGCCTGTCTGTCAGATTGTGGAGGAGAGAAACACACTGCAGGAGCAGCTTCAGGCAGAGACAGAGTTGTATGCTGAGGCTGAGGAGATGAGGGTCCGTCTGGCAGCGAAGAAGCAGGAGTTGGAGGAAATCCTCCACGAGATGGAGGCGAGGCTTGATGAAGAGGAGGAGCGTTCTCAGGGGCTGTTAGTGGAAAAGAAGAAGATGCAGCAGCAGATGCAGGTCAACATGTCTGTTTCACACTGTTGTTCAGTCGGAGTTGTTATTGATCAGGTAGCTGTGCTTTCCCAGTGTGATAAAGATGCTGGAGAAACTGAGGGTTCAGTCTTTTCATGCAGGAGTTGGAGGAACATTTGGAAGAGGAGGAAGACGCTCGTCAAAAACTGCAGCTCGAGAAGGTTGCCTGCGAGGGAAAGATCAAAAAGCTGGATGATGATATTCTCATAATGGAGGACCAGAACAACAAGCTGCTGAAGGTAAGTACTGGAAATCAGCATTTTTCGAAGTAAGTCACTTGGGAAACTAAATACATCACCGGCTTTGTGATGTTTTGTAGGAGCGAAAGTTGCTAGAGGAGAGAGTTGCAGACTTCAGTGCTAACCTGGCAGAGGAAGAAGAAAAATCTAAGAATCTCACTAAGCTCAAAAATAAACACGAATCCATGATCTCTGAATTAGAAGGTAGTCGCCTTGTATGCATTTTGAACTGTACTCATAGCACATTTCTCATATACATCATTGAGTGGTATCTCTCTCGCACTAGTCCGCTTGAAGAAAGAGGAGAAGACCCGTCAGGAGCTGGATAAAGCTAAGCGCAAACTGGAGGCGGAGTCAAATGACCTACAGGAACAGATCGCTGACCTGCAGGCCCAGATCGCTGACCTCAAAGCTCAGCTTGCAAAGAAGGAGGAGGAGTTACAGAACGCCTTAGCCAGGTAGTGTCAGACTGGTGTATTTATTTCTTTAAAACAACACTAAGTTCTATCAGTTTTAATAGTTTAATGTACTCTTGATTCTCACAGGTTGGAAGATGAGTCTGCCCAGAAAAACAACGCTCTGAAGAAGATCAGAGAGCTGGAAGGACACATCTCCGACCTGCAGGAGGACCTAGACTCTGAGCGGGCTGCCAGGAACAAGGCCGAGAAGATCAAACGGGACCTTGGGGAGGAGCTGGAGGCCCTCAAGTCTGAGCTAGAGGACACTCTGGACACCACTGCCACACAGCAGGAACTAAGGTTACACAATTATGTATTCAGAGGAATTTATAAAGTGTATATACATTTACCTTTTAGATGATGAAGCTATCTTAGAGAAGAAAAAGATGACTAACAAAACATGTGCATGCTTAAAAAAAATACCTGCATTATCCATGTATCTGTCTACAGAGCCAAACGTGAGCATGAAGTGACCCAGCTGAAGAGAGCCATTGAGGAGGAGAACCGGACCCACGAGGCTCAAATACATGAGATGAGACAGAAACACACACAGGCTGTTGAGGAGCTCAGTGAGCAGCTGGAACAGTCAAAACGAGTGAGGCCACTATTTTATGAATCATTCTTAATACCCAGCTGTCATTTAGCTTTTTATTTCTTTATTTGCATATTGAGGATTCTCTTTATTTTCCTCTGCTCAGGTAAAGTCAAACCTGGAGAAAGCAAAACAAGCTCTGGAGAAGGAAACGTCAGAGCTAACTATGGAGGTGCGCTCACTGACCCAGGCCAAGCAAGATGG